TCATCCTTCACCAAAATAAGGAGTTGCACAATTCCAACCGTCACTGTATGCCAGCCATATTAATTATTCCTCAAATTCCATCACAGTCCCACTGAATATTTTCTTACTTGAAGATTATATTGTAAGCTTAAGTACCACAAACTTGCATAAAATAAAGTGGGGCGGTGGGGAGAGGAGAGGGAAATATACACACATAAACATATAACAGGCAAAGAGAAAATGCACGAAGCTAATACGGTCCTCGTTTTAGTAGCTGTCTATGGACCATAGATGATATCTATGGCTTCCTACCTTTCTCTACCTATTACAAATTACCCTTGCTCTCAGCCAGAAGCTGAGTTGGTCAGTTCTTCATCTGGTGGAGTGACCCAAACCTTTATTCAGAAGAGTGAATCCTCAAACATCCTGACTTTTTTTTTTTTTTAATGATTATTATAGTTTTTCATTAACCTGTGCTATTGGTCATGGAACTAGTAAGGGACACTCCAGAGAATTCTCTTGCCACATAGTCTTCTTTGCCTTGAACATGTAGCAGCTACTTGATTTCCCTTTGGTGATTAGGATCAATTACTCCAGCCAGTAAAATAACTTCTTATTTTTGGCATATTGGTTCAGTAATATAGAGAGCCCAAAATGGCCATGTGGCAGTCTTCTCTTCATATTCAATGGAACCACTGCTGTATGCTCTAATAAAAGCATTCTTTTCCTTACAAGCAAAGCTCAAAGTTGCCAGGACAGGAAGCAAAGATTCTGTGAATGGATCATTAGATGGAATGCTGAGAGGAGCCAGTCTGGTTTCTACTCTTCATTCCCAGATCTATGCATTCTGGCTATTCTGGAAATAACACCACTTAATGGTCTCTGATTCAGAGCCCATACTACATCCTGTAAAACAGAACTCCCTCTTTTCCTAGGGTTGTCTCCCAGCTGGAGGCATAACTAAGTCTTCCGTAAGCCATTCCATCTTCAGTTAGGCCAGCCACTTCCAGGTTATAGGGTATGTGGTAAGTTCGATTAATTGCATGATCATGGGCTCATTGCTGCTCTTCCTTTACTGTGAAATGTGTTCCTTGATCGGACTCAGTACTGTACAGAATGTCATGATAGTGGAAAAGGATTTCTATGAGTTCACAGAGGGTGATGATGGCAGAAGCTTTAAGAGCAAGGAATACAAATTCATACCCAGAATTTGTCTATTTGAGTGTGGATGAATTTCTGCTCACTCTATGATGGTCAGTATAATCAACCTATGACAAATCAGCTGACTGACCCCCTGTGAAACAGAGGCACCAACCCAGTTAGTGGCTGAGTGTTAATGCAGGTCTCTGTTGTTGATAAATCAGGCACTCAGTAGTAGCATTAGCCAAATCAGCCTTTGTAAGGAGAAATCCAAACTGTTTGGCCCATACGTCGTCTTCATCTCTGCCACCATAACCACTGTCTTTCATGGACCCATTGAACAAGCAAGCATAGGGATGGCTGGGAAAAGAAGCTAACAGAGTATGTCATTTTGTCCACCTGATTATTAAGAGCCTCCTAAGCAGGAAATGCTATGGTGAGTATTTACATGGGACACACATCTTCATAGTCTGTGCTCATTCAGAGAGGACTCAGAATGTAAAGTAAGAAAAAGAAAATAGAGGAGGAAGAGC